AGAAGTGACTGGCTTATAAGCTTTCAAGAGGGAACCTAGTGCTAGGGAGCATGGAGGAGGGCAGAATCTCCAGTGGGTACTATTCAATCTGTCTGGGCGGAGCTGATGAAAGGAAATACAGATGGGTAACTCGTAATACTGTAGTGAATAATGCTTATCAGGATGGATTATGAGGGTTGGAAATGCAAAGGTAGACGTTTTGTAACAAACAGAGAAGCCTGAGATGGAGGCAGAGACAATGATGTGGAGTAATGAAGTGGCTGGGGACTTTGGATCCAGAGAGGGAAAGGGACCATGGGCTGAAAACTGCGAGGGGGGGTGGGGGGGAAGAGGGGAGTGTAAGGGGGAGTGTAAGGGGTGGGTTTCTGGGATATACACTTTGGGTGGTTGATGATGCATGGAGGGGATTGGAACCATGGCAATGAGATGATACGATGGAATGAATGTAAAACTAAAGTTCTCTCATGTAAACTACCATATAATTCACAATAAAACATAAAAAAAAAAATAAAAAAAAAAGAATAGCATAGTTTTAGATTTTAATTTTTCAACATATTATTCAGACCCATTTCAAAGCCTTCTTGTAGCAAAATCTCTATGACTGCCAACAGCCCAGAGTAGATCTATAGAGGCTTTGGTTCATAAAGCTTGCATAGAACTAAGTCATAAGCACTGGAAATATGTCTTTCTCCCCTTTCTGCCCTGAACAACATGAGGCAGTGACCCTGACTAAGTGTACAGGCTCTGCAGGCCCAAATGCCCACTCAGGTAGACTGTCCCAAAATTAAGACAGGAGAGAGGCAATGAGGGAACACCTACAGCAGCCAGTCAGTTTGGCCCTCACTCTGAAACTACACTCCTCCAATCTCCAGCTGTCTAAATGGTTCTAAACCTGGTTAGGAAAAACGAAGCTGCAACTTACTGATTTCTTTTAAATTCCAATGGAAACCATACTGAAATAATATAATATATATCTAAGAAGTCAAAGTCCTGATTTATGTATTAAAGATGAGCAAATACTTTATGTGATACATTCCAAAAAATGTGAGGGGCCTGAGCGCATTTCAAAACCAATACTTAATGATGTGTGAATGTAGTTGTACAACCTCCTTTCTCCTGCGGCCCTGCATCGTCCCATCACACTAAAGTGAAGTTGCTCTCGAGTCAGTTCTGACTCTGAGCTACCCTGTTAAGGGTTTCTGAGGAGCGGTTGGTGAGCTTGAACCACCAACCTTTCAGTTCAAATGACCTTGCAGCCCAATGTGCATTAACTTACAGTGCCACACCAGGGCTCCTAAAGTGAAGTAGTGATGTTTTAATCAGTGACTTCCACAAGATAAACATCTGCAGGGTAGAGAAATAGAGATTTCTTTATATGATCTATTTACCTCTACAATGGTTAAAAGGGTTTCCTGAGAGTTTCTCATGACCTCCATAGTTTTCTCACAGCATCTATAAAATCAAGCACATTATAACTATAGATTCTGTTGCATACCAACATTTTCAACATATCTTTATATACACTCATGTGTGTTGTTGTTGTTGTTGTTAAGTGCCGTCAAGTTGACTCTGACCCATAGCAACCCTGTATAGGGTTTTCCAAGGAGTAGCTGGTGAGCTTGAACCACCAACCTTGTAGTTCAAACGACTATGCAGTCTGACGCATTAGCCCACAGCGCCACACCAAGATACTCATGTGTAGTATGCTGAAATTATTCTTGTTAAGAATTCCCAAATGTGTATCTCATTTATACATTTTTGAATTATTAACAAGAGTATAGTACTTGGTTTCTGAAATGAATACAAATATATATGTGAATACTTCATAGGCTTAGCATTTATAAAGATAATACTACTATAAAGCATATGAGTCTTTGATTATTGTAACAATTACTAGTTTGAAATCTGTCCCAATAAAAGTTGAGCACACATACACACATCAGTTTTCAGTCAACCAGTAAATAGATACATAGGGGGATAACACTAGTGAGGTACGCACACCACAGAATGGTCAACCATTCAAGATCAAAAGGCAGCATTTACCTAAGGACAAAATTCAGAGGGCTGGGAAAGAAGGGGGAATGGAAACAAGAATCACATGGAAGAAGCCAGATAACAGATGTTATACAGAGGGATGGCAATTACTGAAATGAAACAAAGTGTATGATATGTTGAATATAAAACTGATGATCTGCTCTGTAAAAAAAAAAAAAAAAAAAAAAGCTGAGCACACAGAGTTATGCTAGGAAAACTATAAGGAACTACCAAAAATTTTTAAAGGAAGATTTTGTAGAAGAATATATGCTCAAAACAAAAATATAGTCTTTCATAGCCCCAACAATGACACCCTACAGTAACTGTTGTTGTTAAGTGCTGTTGAGTCAGTTCCAACTCAGAGTGACCCTGTATAGGCTTTCCCAAGAGCAGCTGGTGAGGTGGAACCATTGACCCTGCAGTCCAGTGCATTAACCTGCAGCGTCACACAGGATTCCTACTGTAATGCTAATCAGTAAAAAGAAAAGTTAGCTAGGACACAGGTTTAAGGGCACAGGGGTGCTGCTTCCAGAATCAGAGTAGGTGTGTTATACTGGGTTAGGTTCCAGGTGGCTTGAAAGGGGAATAAGCAGTCAGTGCTTATCCTACAACACACCAGGACTCCATATGACCCAGCAATTCCACTCCTTAGTATATACCCAAGAGACTTGACAGCAGAGACTCAGATACGTAAACACCAATGTTCATTATTATTAGTGCTTTTACCCAGGGGTCTTTTTTCTTAGTGCTGCTAAAGCACTAGAAAGTAACCCTAGCACTAAGACAATCTAGAATGTGAATGTGTAGAAAGCTATGATTCACATGTTGACACCCAGACCCCTTAGTCTCCCTTCCTTTACATCACTTACCTTCTGAAGACACCTTCAACACCAGTGATGCCCATCCCATCCACAATATCCCTGGTGAGTCTAAAAGGAACTGTTTCCGGAGTAGGGAGAATTTTACCCTGCTCAAAAGCAACCCCTAGAGTAAAACATACAGTGAGATTAGGAGGTTTGACAACCAATTTGCTTTTCTCCCAACGTGCAAAGGCATAATCAGTCCCCTATACTCTACTAAAATTGTTCTAGAATTTATTCTATATTAATTAAATATATATACATTATTCTATAATTTATTTATTCTGTTCTGCATGCTCTTACCATCTCCATGATTGTCTGATTCTTTTCTAATTAAAAAATATATTTATAATGTAACTAAAATCTAGATTAAAAAGTAATTTTAAAAATAGTGATAGGTAGAAGTTAAAATGTAGACATTGAATATATATTCATATTAACTTTAAATTGAAACATTTTACTATTTTGAGATAATTATAGATATACATGAAGTTGTAAGAAACATCATCCCATATACCTTTATATAATTCCTCCACTGGTAACATCTGGCAGGAGTATAAAATGGTACAGTAGCTATAGAAAAAAATTTGGTGCTTCCTTATAAAACTTAAATGTAGAATTACCATGATGTTATAGTTCCAATATAATGACCCCATGTAAAGGGTTTTCAAGGAGTGGCTGGTTGGTTTGAACCACCAACCTTACGGCTTATCCTACAGCACCACAGCAGTATTCCATATGACGCAGAAATTCCACTCCTTTGTATATACCCAAGAGCCCTGAAAACAGGGACTCAACAGATGTGTACACCAACATTCACTACAGCATTATTCACATTAGTCAAAAGGTAGAAACAACTCAAGTGTCCCTCAGCAGATGAATGGATAAACAAAATGTGGTATACATGTGGATGCTTCAAAATGTTCATGGAAAATTTCATTATCTTTGATTTCACTTTTTCCATGAACTTTCTGAAACCACCTTGTATACACAATGCAATATTATTCATCCAAAAAGAGAAATCAAGTGCTAATACATGCTGTGAAAACATTATGCTGAGTAAAAGAAATGCAACACAAAAGGCACATCTCTAAAATATAGAGAACAGGCAAATGCATGGGCAGAAAGCGTTATTAGCCGTTACCAGTGGCTAGGGGGAGGGGAATATCTACAGGGGTACTGAGTTCCTCTTTGGGGTGATGAAAAACTTTTGAAAAATGGTTAGTGGTTGAAGGTAGTAGCACAACATGGTGGATGTAAATAATGTACTAAATTGTACACTTAAAAATAGCATACATTTTGTTAAAAAAAAACCATGGTACAAAATCCAGGATACTGACACTGCTAATCATGCTGTCCTGTTATAGCCAAACCACTTTCCTCCCATGTTTCCCACTCCCCTACTCCTAACTCCTGGCTAATCACTAATCTGATGTCAAGTTCTCTAATTTTGTCATTTCAAGTATTGTATAAATAGAATCCTACAGAAAGTACATAACCTTTTGGTATTTTCTCTTTTCACTCAGCATAGTTCTTGGGTATTTATGTAAGTTGTTTAGTGTATTGACAGTTCATTCATTCCTTTTTATTGCTAAGTATTCCATAATCCTGAAATGTGGCAAAGAATATTAAATATACCATGGACTGCCAAAGAATAGCCAGAATGCTTCTTGGAAGTGAGAATGGTGAGACTTTGTATCATGTACTTTGGGTATATGGTATCAGGAGTGAAAAGTCCCTGGAGAAGGATATCAGATTTGTTAAAGTAGAGGGTCAGTGAAAAAGAGGAAGACCCTCAATGAGTAAGATCGATACAGTGGCTGCAACAATGGGCTTAAATAGAGCAATGGCTGAGGATGGCACAGAACCGAGCAGTGTTGTACTCTGTTGTATACAGGGTCACTGTGAGTCACCACTGACTCAAATGCACTAACAACAACAATATTTCATGGTATGGATATACCACACTTTAACCATTCACCCACTGAAGGATATCTCAACTGTTTCTAGTTTTTATCTATTACAAATATAGCTGATACAAGTACAGGTTTGTGTGAGTTTCAATTCTATGGAAGAAATGCCCAGGAGTAAATTGCTGGGTTGTATCCTGGTGTGGTGTTGTGGGTCAATGTGCTGGACTGCAAAGTAGCTTTGAACCTCAAGGTTGGTGGTTCAAGCTCACCAGCTGCTCCTAAGAAAACCTATACAGGGTCGCTATGGGTTGGGATTGACTGGATGGCACTTAACAACAACAAAATACTAGTTATATGTTTAGTTTTTTAAGAAACTCCCAAACTGTTTTCCAGAGTGGCTGTGCCATTTCATATCCCTACTAGCAATGTACCCAGTTTCTCCCATCCTTGCCAACATTTGGTGATCCCACTATTTTTATTTAACCACTGACAGCTGTGTAGTGATATCACATTGTGGTTTTAATTTGTATTTCCTTTCTGTGTGTTTATTTGCTATTTGTATGCATTCTTTGGCGGAATGTCTATTCAAGTTTTTCCCACAGTTTAAACTAGATTATTTAGTTTATTTTTAATGTTGAGTTTTGAGTTGTTGTTTGTTGTTCTGTTGAGAGTCAGTTCTGACTCATAGCAACCCTGTATAGAGTTTCTCAGGAGTGGTTGGTGGGTTTGAATCGCTGACTTTGCAGCTAGCAGTTGGTTTTATCCTACAGTACCACATCAGGACTTTGTTGAGTTCTGAAAGTTATTTATAAATCATAGACACTAGTACTTTGTTAGATTTATAAAAACATTCCATCAGTGTATATCATGCCTTTTCATTCTCTAACAGGATCTTTTGTAAAGGAAATATCTTTAATTTTTATAAAGTTTAGCTTATCAATTTCTCCATTTTATGGACTGTGATTTTTCCTCCCCCTAGATGTGGAAGACATTTTTTGCCTACAAAATTTAGTTTTGTATCTAAGTCAAAGATCCATTGTGAGCTAATTTTTGTGAGCTAAGATATGAAATTTAGTTCAAGATTTTTTTTTTTTTTTGTCTATCAATGTCAACTTCTCCAGTGACATTTGTTAAAAGGCTATCCTAAAGGCATTTTCCTATATTCCAGATGATTTGAGTGAGAGGTAAAACAGTACTTTTGGCAGATTTGTTAGGTTATGAGTATAAAAGCTGGAAGCCAGCTGACAAATCCCTCTCATCTACTAGGTTAGGAACTTGGAATGCTGCACCTTAGGAAGAAGATAAATTGGAAGGAGACAAGTGCTCTTAGGAACCTTAGCATAGTTTTAAAAAATTCCAACCCCTGAAATTGCTAATGAACCCGTGACACTGGAAAAGAAACGTCTAGTGGAAGACATCATCATTATAAGTCTATTTAAAGCATTCATTCTATTTGTCCTTTTTGTATGTCTGTCAAATCTAATCTCCTGTTCTCTACAACTTTTGTACATATCATCATCTCTCATCCACACTATTAAATTTCCCTTAACATAGCTCCCGAAAGTACCTTTCTAAAAATCAAATATGATCATGTCCTGCTAAAATATATCTTCATTTACTTCTCACTGCTTATCCAAGTAAAGTCTAAACTCCTTAGCCTAGTTTTTGAGTTTAACAACAACCTATCTTTCAAGCTACTCAACAGGCAAACTAACATCATTCCTGCTACATTAATGTCTCCTCATTCCCTCAACATACTGCACCTTCATTAATCCTTCTCTCTAATCTGCTCTACTTCTTGTCTGCATCATCTTTTCTTTTTTCTTTAACGCCTGACTCAAATGACACAACCTCTAGCAAGTTTCACTCACTAACCCAGATGAGGAGTTAGCAATTCCTCCCAGTATCATCTTGCTTATGTCTTTTTAAAAAGTGTTCATTGTTTTGTCTGTCTCCCTCATACTTGTAATATCCTGATAGGCCAACAATTTTTCTTAATGATCAAGTATTTGCTAAATTTAGTAAAAAATAAACTTTGTATTACTTACCTAAATCTATATGTACAAGTTTTGCTGACTGTTCATTTATCAAGATATTTTGCACATGTCTATCACCAAGTCCAAGTATATAACCAACTGGAAAACAACACAAAATCACTGATTTCAGCTTTATAATGCATTTAGTCATAATTTCAATTAATACCACCAATTCTACATAATTTTTTCAGTACTTAAGGCTTTTTAAGTCTACTTACAGGGAACTTACATATATAAATGGCCATTTTAGGTCTAAGTCAACTTTTAACAATAATTTTTTACATGTATTACACTTTACAATTTCTAGATAGTTTACGAAAAAGAAAAAAATTTCTTTTTTTTACCCTTTAAGAGGTACACATTTAAAAGTACCTCAGAAATTAATGTCGTAAAAGTTTAGACCCATATTTTAGCAGGGCCAAAGTAGCACATCATGTGTACTCAAATTGGAATACTTATTGAACTCTTTGGAGAACCTCTGCTGCTTCAGAGGTTGGTATTACAGAAGATACTTGACAGGGAAGTTTGGATGTTTGACTTCCTGATTAGCTCTGATTAACTGGGTCTACTTTCTAATTCATAATTAAGTTGGCTCAATCATTTCAGTGATTCTCAGTATAGAAGACTGTTGCACAACAATCTGGAACCTTTTTCAAAATATGCATTTCCTGCCTCATTGGGTTATGGTACATAGTAGTGGAAGGAGCGGTCTTTCTTTAAAAACCAGTATGTTAAGTTCTCATACTCTAGTATTTTGTTAATTATCTAGCTCTTTAATCTGTTAGTAATTAAAAAAAAAAAGTCAGAATATATGTTGTACATTGAATATTTAAGTATATATAAATCATGATTTGTATTCCCTAAACAAAATTTTGTTAAACAGAATCAATATTTGGGTAATAGTATCATGGTATAGCGTTTCTATGCAAAACAACAATAATGAAAGAAAATTAATCAAGCAAAGTTTATCACAGATTTTATTATTTTCCAAAGAAAATCTCTGGAAATAATATATTAAGGAAAGAGAAAATAAGACATACTTTCTACAAATCAAAGTAGAATAATTAGTTGTAATTCCATTCTCTGAGTAGAAGACTCCTTTCCCATAAAGGTCAACTTGAGAACCTAAGAATTATGAAGAAGAAACACAATGCCCTAACGATGACTCTGGGTTGACGATTACCAGCATCCCCCAGCAATCAGAATGTAGGAAAGCACTGGATCCAAATACAAAGAGGTGCAAGAGGATTACCAATGGAGGAAGTAGCCACACTGCGGGTGTAGGCCAGTCGTTTCTCAAACCAAACAGCTGGGTCCAAGAATTTTTCCATGCAGAAGTAACGGAAAACTGGCTGAAATTTTTGGCAAATATCCATGAAGGTTTTATACTTCTCTTCAAAAGATTTCTTTTGCACATCCTTTAAATAGAACACAAAAATTATTTTCCCACTATATGCCCACTAATCCAACTAATACTAAGCATTTCTATATGAATATATTATGATAGGCATGTTGTTGTTGTTAAGTGCCCATCAAGTTGGTTCCAACTCATAGCAACCCTGTATAGGGTTTCTGAGGAGCAGCTGTTGGGTTTGAACCGCTGACCTAGTGGTCAGTAGTCCAGTGCTTATCCTACAGTGTTCATGATAGATATGTTATTGTTAAGTGACATCCAGTCGATTCTGATTCACAGTGACCCTGTATAGGGTTTCTGAGACTTGTAAATCTTTGCAGGAGTAGAAAGCCTCATCTTTCTCTCATGAAGAGCTGGTAAGTTCTAACTGCCAACCTTGTGGTTCACAGTCTAGTGCTCATCCTATTGGAATCACTGTGTTCCTCACGATAGGTATGTTGCTGCTGTTACGTGCCATCCAGTCAGTTCCGACTCAAAGCAACCCTGTACAGGGTATCCAAGGAGTAGCTGGTGAGCTTCAACTGCCAATCTTGCAGTTCAAACCAATCTTGAAGTCCAGCGCATTAACCCGCAGTGCCACACCAGGTAAATGGAAGATTAAAAAAAGATGAACATGATATCATGTCTACTCACAAGAAGCTAACCAGGGAAGTCATTAATTACAAGTGTTATTGTCCTTAGGTTTTTATATTCGTCTTAGGAGAAGGCATACCAACAGTGACTTAAATATTTAAGTTCTAATTTGAATAATCCTGTAATATAGGTAAACATAAACAGAAATGTCAAGTGGTAGCTCCGGATATATTATCAGATGGCATCACAAGACTAGGGATGCTATGAGAAACAGAAGAAGCAAAATGAAAGAATCACTGGTGGCTGGCAGAGCAGATGATACATCTCAGATCTTAATCTTCTCACCATACACACTCACCTGAGTCCAAGCTTATCCATCTACTTCAATGGGCTTAGCTCCCATCTATATGCTAATGACTTCTAAACCTGTATCTCTGGCCTAAATATATTTATTAAGCTTGAGCTTGATGTACTTCTCTGTTAACTCATAATCTTCGCTTGGATCGTCTCCAAATCCAAATTAATTCACCTTCTCATCCCTGGCAATCCTCAGTCACCTCCACTATTCCTTCATTAGGTACATAGCCTCATCATCTAGCCGGTTACTCCAACCAAAACACCAGAAGGCACTGACTACTCCTTTTCTCTGTTTTACTTCTAATCAGCAACCAAATCCTATCAGTCCTGTCTCATTAATATTTGTGTCTACCAGAACTCCTTGGAAACCCTATACAGGATCGCTATGGGTTGGAATCGATTCGACGACACGTAACAACCACCACCACTACCCATGGAACTCACCAGCTGTCTTTCAGGAGAAGAGACCTGGCACTCTCGCTCTGATAGCGACTCCAGCCTAGGAAACCCTATGGGGTAGTTCTATTCTGTCGTATAGGGTCTCTATGAGTCAACAACCCACTACTCTCCATTACTATAACTGTTAACTCTCTTAGTTCATAACCTTTGCCTCATGCCTACAGTTGGCTCTCTTAAAAAAACAAAACAAAACAAAACAAAACAAAACAAAAAAAACCCCTGTAGTGCTGTCAGTTATCTTTATATCTAAACTGTACATTTGAATTTCCTCTCTTCCTCAATGGTTCTCTAGTACCTACCGGAGAAAATCCAAACTTGCTAGCATTTCATAATGCTAC